TTTTTTATTTCATGTATTGTTCTTCCTTCACAAAACCTGGTGCCTACACTACCCACAATGCAATTCAGCGCCCAACACGGAGGGCCTTGAGCAGCTATCCCGAAGCAGAGAGGAGGAGCGGCCTGCAGAGGTCTGGCGAGCTCCCTTCTTTTCCAACTCGGTGCACTTTTTTATTTTTTTTAAATTTGTATTCTTCCGATGTTTACCGTTTCATGTCAATCAGAGAAATACGCTGATTTCAACAGTTATTTCTGTGGCTCATCCTACAACAAGCGCGCTGTGATCATCTCATTCATGCTTGTCACCATAGTTATGGCTCTCACACAGGATGATTGACGGCCCCGTTCTTAATCCCACCTACAAAGCTCTCATTTGCTCAGTTGTTTTTCCATCCAGGAATACACTCAACCTTCTATTCAGAGGTCTTGAACCCGGACTCGTGCTTGTGGTAATGAAGAAAGTCTGTCTGCTCTAAGAAGCCCCTCCCACGTTTATTTTAAGCCTATAGCACAGTGCAGTTTTAGAATAAGTTAGATAAGTGGTGGGTAGGATGAGACTATCAGAGTTCATAGGTCACCCTGCTGCACCCCTCCTGCCTCTGCTCCGGGTTCTCCCACGGCAGGTTTACACACCACACATGTGCCGACAGGATGTTTTGCTCTCAGCACATGGTTCCTGTTTTCACTCAAGTTCCGTATCAGATTCCTCTCGGCTCAAGTGCCAAAAATGTTGTTGCAGTTGTTTGTGTTGGCCTTTGGTTGTTTCAAGGTTAAAAAAAACATTGTATATCTCATGTTGTTTTTTGTCTCCTGAATCATGCCGTAAGGCCTCGTTTGACTCTGACGTCAGAGTTTTGGCATAAGGGTTGAATGTGTTGAAATGTAATACTGCTGACTTAGTACCAGCAAACATTTTTTATAGTTTGTGTGATGTTTTATTTCATCGGTTGGCTTCATAGGCTGATTGGAGTAAAAAGGAAAGAGCTGCCATTAGATATGTTCGCATGTGTATGACTCTCTCCTGCATCTCCCACGCTGATGTTGAATTATATATTTACAGGAGATGTGCAAAATATCAGCATGTCCAGTTATGCATCTTTTGAATGTGCTTAGGAGAAGAGGAGATTGCACGTAACTCTTTGCACTTTAGTGTTTCTATGGAAATACTTTTTGATGTGAAATTCAAAATGTCGTTAGTCAGTTTTTGGGTGCAGCTGAAATGTAAATTACTGAACTATAAATATAGTTATCACGCCGATGCTAGCTGCACAGGGCTTGTTGTCTAATTACCGGCCCTGGTTGCTGAGTCTCACAGAAAGAAGCCTTAGCTCCACAAAGTCACATCTGTCACTTCGCCCGACAGCATCCTCACAACCCGTCCAGACACGTAGCACAGGTTGCCTTTTCTTTTTCCCTCTCGGTAAATGTTTTCTCTGTGAATAATACCAGACCTCTGTTACATATCCAGTAAGTTTACAAATCGGTGACAGTTCAAGTATGTTGGGATGTTCTGTATGATCAAAAGAATCCAAAGTTCAACAGCATTACTGAGGAGAGTATTGTGACTTGTTTGTAAGTGGCATTTTAATTGGTTTACCATGTTTTTTTTATCCGACTCCTTAATTGGCCACTTAAAGAGACTTTTGGTGTTCTTGTATCAAGTAAACAAAAGTAAATCCCAGAGAGAAAAAAACGAGCACTACTAGACGGTTTCAGTAGACAAGTAGGGAAGACAACGGTCTGTTAGATGTTGCTGCGCTCCTCTTTGTTTGTCTTAGTTCTTACAGGAAACGCTCGCAGGAACGTGGGTCTTTCATAAACTTGAAAAGCTTCAGGCCACCTAAAGAGAGACAGAGCCGTTCTTAGTCATTCTACCTCAAAGCTGAACGTTATCTAAACTAAATATTGGATCTAAACACTTCTACTTACTGTCATCAAGATAACCAAATCTATTTCCTTTAGCTTAAATGCAGAGCAGCTTGTTTTATCATCAGCCAAGGCACAGTCAACTTTCATCAATGTCGGTTAATCTGTGGATAACCTTTTTTTATTGTTTGTCCTCTTCTCACAGCTCAAATTCCCAATCTTAAAAAGTTAAAACATTTTCTCAATAGGTATTTAAATACAATCACAAGAGATAAAGAGTTTGGTATAGCTATGACCAACAAGTCTATAATATTTATAGTCTATAAATTACTATTGCAGCCAAAACCAAACTGTAGATTCATTTTCTCTTGAATTACACACGAAGAAACGTTTGAACTGCAGCCCGAACTGTTTTTAATTTCAAAGTTTGTTAAATTCAGTCCACATCGGTGTCTATGGCGAGCTGCATGTCATTACTATCTTCACTATTTATGCACAGCATCTGGCTGTGAGCCGAGTGCATCACTATGAGCACCAGCCGCTCTGTAAGATGACTAACTTTAAACAAAAATCTGCGGCCCTTGAAGTAGCTAAAGCGGCATCCAACATTGCTTCAGCAACTTTGTTATTTCCCCGTCTGTGACACTCTCCATCGGCTGATGTCACTCTTCCATGGGAGTCACCACCGTCAAACTGTGTTTCCAAAGCAGGTAAAGTGATGAAAACGTTGACATATCTGCATGCGTCTTGTTTCTTCGCTTTACTTCGTGGGTGAAGTGTTGAATTGGACGTTGTCTTGTTTACTTTGAGGCTACATGGGATAGTGGTTTCGGGTTATAGTTGGTGGTGGGAGTATTTCCTTCATTTCTGTGACCGCTTTATGAAAACTGACTCTGAAATGCTGCGTTAGCCTACATTGGCCATCAGTTTCTAATCCATATCCTTCTGAGATTTCCTTTTATTATTATTCCGTCTTGAGTGACGAGCCAAAGGGTAGCCAGAATGCATCTGTGATCGGGTGCTGAGCGTTTGATGTACACAAATTTCATCTGAAAACGACTTGACCGTTGAGCCAAGGGTCTGTCTGTCTCCATGGCTTGATAAACTGCGGCCTGCACGTGTTTACTGGGCAGCCTGCGTTAAGTACAAGCATGTGTTAAATGCTCATGATGTATCACCAAAGGCCATAATGACGGATCTGGTGGAAAATGAAATTGTGTTTCGTGAGTGTTTTCATTTTCTCTTTTGTTGTGCTTTGAAATATGGTGTTGATGGGTGAAGTCATAACAATGCCTTTCACACCCAGGTTTCACATCTTACTGTGTGCGCTGCAGACATACTTTTTAGGGGAACAGACATTTTACACAACACATCCAACTATTCATTCTGAAATATAAGCATTGTGATCTGCAGATGACACATAGCAGGACTTTGGTTTTCTTTTAATCATACCATCATTCTTGAGGCCAGCATTTATACCTGAACTGTCAAACCTGCAAATAAACCAACAAATTCCACCAAAAAAAAATACATGTAAATGTTAGGGAGATATTCCTGAATGCTTTTCATTTATAACTTTTATTCAGGCATTCAAGAATTTCAATCTTACGTTTGCGGATTTGCTTTTTAGACACACAGTTTTGAGACGAGCTTTACGCCAGTCCGAACAAAAATCAACATGTATCACTCAGCCGTTTGGGGAAAGCACGTGAGCGTCTGCACCATTTCTGCATTGAGTCTTGCTATGAGCTGTTTCTTTTTTTCATATAATCAGCAATTTGTTATTTCTTATGTCCCTATTATAAGTGGGGGGCTTACGCTGGTTCTTCAGTTGGCACTAATGTCACTTCTGAGGGCCTGCCCTATATATGTTTTAATCTATTCAGGTGGACCTGAAAGTTGCCAACAAGAGTTCTCACGCCTTTCATTCTCAATCAGAAATGTAAATGTGTGTGCTAGGTAATGTACATCAAACAAATAAACACACTCACTGTGTCACAATTACATTATAGAATAATAAATGCATGTTACTTATTGCTGGTTATAAAAAAAAACAAAAAAAAACTGCTCATTGAGAGACTGCATGCTCTTACTTTGAAATGCGGAAATGACATCATGGGCTATCCCAAAATGGCCGAGTGATGCAAGTGCATTTTTGTTGAGCCTTCAGCGTACAAGTTGTAAATGTTCAAAAGATATTCACAAATGCTTTTATTTGTAAATTATTTTAATGCGTTCATAGATTTATTTGTTTGTGTATTTGTAGATCTGCTTTATATTTGCAAAATATTTTTTGTGAGTTCAATCTTTTTTTGTATTTGTGGAAGGTCTGTTATATTTACATATTACACTCCATGTATTCACACAAATAACATCGAGACAAATCTATCTCCGTGAGACGGCAACAGATCCCTCTCAAGAACGCCGCCTGTCAGGCATCATGAAACCTTCCCTGTACTCCCAGATGACAGAGGAACATGAGAATCCTCCTTGGAGAGCAGATATGTATTCGGCATCAACAGAGCAGCCACAGCTCGAAGGACTTGCAGATGTGTTGGAGGGACTACAGTCCTGATTTGTTTTGGTGGTTGGACCTCTGTTTCTATCCAGCTCACTGTATCAGCTGAGGGAGTTTCTTGGCATTTTCACATGAAAATGACTTTTAAAATACCGGGACTCTCCTGAGTGCCTATTTTGTTTAGAGAATGGGCAGTTAAGTTTAAAAGTCCTTAGATGCTGTAGTCCCCAGCGGCGGAATTGTACAGTGCTGACAGACGAGTTTCCAAAGTGTGAAAGTCCTTTTTAAGAAGTGCGAAATAGACACCAGTTGACCCAAGTGTGGGATAAAATACTTCATTAACGCCTACTTCAAAATATTTTCACTGTCGCCATCAATTTGTCACACAGAAGCTGTATCCAATCTCCAGGATTATAGAAAATGACTCGGAACTTTTTTCTTGCATTCTGCCAAACAAAATATCCAAGGAAATGGAGATCCACCATAAGCACTGCTCTGTGTGAAGATACCGGATAATGTGATTTTGGCCGCGTTAAGGTTATGTTGTGTCAAGAAGAACTGAGCTGTCTTTGTGTGGTTTTATGAATACATTTTTCTCTTTCTCTGTCTCACTCTAGCTGCCTCTGAGGGGAGAGTCAACGGCGGTGAGGATTTCTTTCAGAAGGTGAGTCGTGTGCACTTGGATGGTGTTTGCTTTGTCTTTAGGTTGCGTTTCAAGCCCACCGAGCTGCGCTTCCCTCTTGGTTTAGGGAGCAGATGTCAGGTGCTCCTCCAGTCACTCGTAACTGCAGATCAAAACAAACTGAAACAACGGAGCGGCAATGACGTTGAATCACTCCGGGGCTCTGATCCTGTAACACAGCTGACACAACACTGTGGGCCTTTCTCACTTGCATAATGTACCATAATACACCAGATCATCTCCTCGTGTTTGAAATGAAGTGTTTTTCTTTGTCACTGATTTAATTAGTTAATGCTCTTAAGGCTTCGTTACATCCTATAAAACAAGGATTCACCTCGGTGATCTTGAATAGTCTTGAAACTTGCTCACATTGTGTCTCTGGTGCTCATTGATCAGTCAAGTGTGTGAGACCCTGCGAGGTAATACATTTCCTTCACTAATGGTCTTTCATAGAGGGTCCAGCTACAAGGATTCGTTTTTTAAAGCACATGTTCTATTAAAAGAATCATTTTGTTAATTAATGACGATACAGTGACTTCTTCTTTTTATTCCTTAAAGTAATTGTGAGCAGGGCTGGACTCTATAAACGATGGATAACACTGATCATGATGGAAAATGTCCTCAATAAGACGATCATAAACTTTGAAATGCTGTTGATCCGTTACATTGCTTGACGGCATACTAACAACCGATCGCATCACAGAAAATAATTTATTTCTTAACTTTCATATTGCACAGACAAGATTGAAGGTGGTTGGTTATTTTTTTTGTATGATTTGTCTATTCTGTGTCAGATCAGCTCCTGGTTGTCTTCAGATTCTTGATCGCTGTAATACAACAGATGAAAAATGTTGCCTTGTTGCCCAACCCTAATCCTCACACAGTTAATTTCTCCTTGTGAAGCATCATTATGAGGGAAAGCAGCGATTACCAGCATTAGTTGAGACGGTGATTCTACGAACTGGCAAACAAATGACCTCGATTCGCTCTATTTGTTTAATTTGAACCTCAAGTATTTGGGGGGAAAGTCTGTGTGCTGTATCAAAATGAATCAAGACTAATCGCATGGTGCTGAAAATGACAGCAATCACATTTTCAACGAAGTTAACTGCTAATTGGATTTTGACAGCTGGTATCTCAGTTATGTGGCGCACTTTAATGCATTCAGTCTTGTTTGAAATCCAGTTTCCTGAATATGTTTAAACTCCCTCCATATTATGTTAATGGACTGTAATGAAATAAATGATGGACATCGGTTTGTTTTAGCATTTCTTTTGTCTATTTTCCATATTTGGTTTTGGAGGTTAGGGAGCTGAGTTAACTGTCAAATAAGGAGGCAATTTAACTGTCCCTGAAGCAAGTAATGCAAACCAGGCGCCTTCAGATCCTCCTCCCAGGAATCTACACAAGGACTCTAGATATTCTCTAAATCTGTCTCCACCTCTTTTGGTTTGGATATAGCTGTAATGTTTAAGATATCCAGTGTAGGTGTCTACCTCGCTCCACACAGCTATTCTGACTAAATCCGGCTGTCGGAGTATTGGCTCTGCCGGTCAAGTTTTTTTTTTTTTTTAAAGCCTCTGGCCGGAATTCTGTCACAGCTCGTTCAAAGAAACAGTGGTTACTAGTGGTTAAGGTGTCAATTAGAAAATTATTGTGCAGCTGTTTGTGTTGGCAGGCTGGCGAAGAGCAGCGGAGGAGGAGTGCTAAGGACATGTTTTTATTGTAGAATTTCCATTTGGATAACTCTGTATAGTCTCCCTTTGATGGCGTGATCACCATACATGCCCAATTAAAGTCAGGAAAATAAACACCGAGTGCGACTGTGGAATGGTATTGCTGAAAGAAAATGGATGGGGTGTGTGAAATACCTTGAAGTTGATGAAAATGGAAACTCTTAGTTGGGCTGTATCCTTGCCCGTCCAACACACCCATCCGCCACACACACACACACACACTCACTCAGTGAGACTAATAAAGTACATGCGTAGCAACTCTCTCCCTTACGTAAGGCAATTTGTGACGCACACACATTGACTTTAGGCTTTGGGAATGAGATTTAGAGTTCAGTCGCTGACGAGAGCAACATAAAACGGTCAACCCCCGCGCTTTCTCCTCAGGCCCCGCTGGCTTGTGGTCGATCAGACCCTCTTACTCACTGTCTGCTGGACTTCCTCTGGAGTCCAGAGCAACATTTTGTAATAGCCCCCTCCATGTAGTCAGTGAGAAAGCTAAGAGGATAGCAGATGAAGTAGGACCACAGGAGGGTGCCACAGCTGGAAAATGAGCCTCGTGCAAAAATCCCCGCAGCTCACATGGGGGAATCTCGCCAGCTTCATGTCCCTCTTTCTCTTCAGGCGTTGTTTTGGTCTCCTATCTCAAATTTTCCGCTCCTCCTCTTCCCTCCTGTTATTATTTCATCTTTGTATTTCATTTCACTTGTGTGTCATAACCAGTCTGGTATAACAAGGTTGTTTTTTTTTTAATTTTTCTGCAAACGACTTGCTTGAAGCGTGCGTCAGTGAACAGTTCCGTCACACGTTTTGGACTGAGAACTGTTGGGAGTGTCGAATCATGGCACAGACCACTAAGCTGTTTGGAGAGCTGTGCAGAAGTTGAGCCGCGGGACAGCAAAGAGCCGAGAAGCTCGGCTGGTGGAGATGATAACTGTGCGCCACAGAGGAGCTTGGAGTGGATTTGTAAGATGCTTTTGAACCACTTTGCAAGTTCATCCCTGATCCCCCTTCCATCACTCCTTCCCAGTAGTTGTGGCTCTGTAAATAATGCCAGGCGTGATGTATAAGTGCCAGTGCACTCAGATCTTAGGCCAGGCGTAATGTATTTTATTTGCTTTATAGTGCTGAAGCATCTTATATTTCGCTGCTCTGACACAGGGAAAAAAATCGGAAAACCGAGGACTGTAAAGATGAAATATTTGGTTGCCATGAAATTGTGAGACGGTAAAATACAAAGGTTACTACGAGTAACACCAAAACGTATAGAAACAAATGTTTGTGTTTCTCAAGCAGCCGTGTAGTCTCGACACATTTCAACAGTAGATGTTTTTGCAGAAGAGCCTTTCTACTAATGTGTGTTGCTCTTTCATAACCATGCACATGTTGGCGTTAGCCCCGTGGTGTAATGGGGCTTTAGCTGCGAGTTAGCACTCGAGTTGTTAACATGAACTCAGTTATGACTGTTGTGTCTCGTAGGGACTGTTCAGTCCACACTGTTCCCTGAGTTAGTCTCTTTACACTCCCCAACAGCCCTCTGTGTCCCCCTTCCAAACACACACACACACACACACACCAGCTGAATCAACAGCTGCACCATCGCAGTGTGGGCCAGGAAACATGCCTCTGCTATGTTGATTGCTGCTGTGCCATAGACTATAGTATAGCGGCACACACACACGGTCACGTGTGTTGAACACATGTGCGGCCTTTCAGGACATTTTCTTAATGATATCCTGTTTGATTTCACGTACAGCTCTGCGCTCGTCTGCATGCACCAGCTGCAAACCTCAAAGAAGCTATCATGTCAAGGTTGTGCCGTGAAACTAATCAGAACCGTAGCCATTTATGTATTTATTCATTTCAGAAAGGGCGGAGTGGCAGACAATATGATGAAATGTATAGGTAACTTAATTTGTGCAAATATCTCCACCCATTTGAGAGGTATTTGCTAGTCCCTCCACAAAAATAAACGCCATCCACCCTTTAAAATGGTGTGTGGTCTGTCAGAAATCAGTCCCATCTGCACTACGCTGCCAAGAACAGCAACACTGGACAGGAAACAGGTCTCTCTGAACAAGGCCCTCTTTAGAGAAAAAGTTGATGAGGCATAGGCCTTAAAGTTTGATAATTTTAGGAGAGCATAATTGGAGTTACTTCTGATATGTTACTTTTGTTCTACGCTGCATGTTTCCACATCTTGGCACTTTTTAATGACCTCTTTATTTGGAACTCACAATCACTCGTCTGCCATTTGCCCCCACATTGCCACTGTAATTTTAGCGGCCTCTGAGAGGTTGCGGGCGGCAGTGTTGAATTGCTTAAACGTGTGGATTTTGTCATGGAGGCGTTCAATTTAAAACCAGACACGTATGTCATGATCGCAGGAGACCAAGCCAAAAAAATAATTTGTGAAAGGTGGACGTAGAAGTAGAGGAATTTCTTCATCACTGAGAACAGAATGTCCTTTAATATTGTGATGCATCCAGCTGTTGGTGTGAGCGCGTGACTTCAGTTGATGGAGGAAAAGTTTGTATTCCGCTACAGGGTCTTTGTGATTCCTGTCCTTTTACCAGACGGCGGTGGGAGGGTGTCATGGTGTAGTTTAGAGTCCCGTGTGCCTCCAGCTAGTATGAAACCCAGTAACGCAGAACTCGTCAGATTTTGGTTTTAGGCCTAGATTTCATAGCATGTAAAATCATTCTGAGTGAATAAAATAGTAACAATAATATTATTGCGGCAGGAAGGATGGGAAGGAGGACTTTAATGGGGGATCATTAGCAGGATGGAACTGTTTTTAGCTTAGTCACGCTAAATGACGCCACGGAAGACTCCAAAACAATAATAGTTGAGATCGTATGGAGAGAAAAAAACTCCACAGAATGATACTAAAATTCCTTTTGGTTCTATGATTCACTCGATAGAAACTGGGAGTAAACACAGGGTCGAAATCATGAGAATGACTGGAAGCATGTTTCTCTGCTGCTAGACAACTCTCCAACTGTTGTACAAATGTGTTTTGCAATCATTTTATTGGCTTACGATCAGTTTTACAAGTTTTTCTGAGGATTGTGGAATCCTGTTTTTCTAAAGAACGGACAAACTCTTCTTTTTGAAGTAAGAGTACTACATTTTTTTTTTGCTTTGTTTACAACATTGAGAGCCTAAAAAAATAACTTGCAGCTGGCTTTTAATGACTCGAATGGTGCTTAATAAAAGTTCAAACTGATTTTGGTTTATCTTGGTCTGCTAGTGGCAGAACGGTTGGCCAAGCACCTCATTCTGTTGCGCGTCTAGGCCCGTCCATTTTTATATGCGATTATAGGATGTTGTAGAAAATCAGCGAGCCTTGAAAGGGCTTCCAGTCAACCATCATGGACTCATGGAGTTTATAGCTGCAAAGTAAAAAGAGGCACACATCAGGCTTTTCAGAGCTGTCTCTCTTGTTTTAAAGGTACGTGAGACTGGCAGTGGACACGCTGTCAGAATTAGTTGTAAAGGATGCCAAACAGACCGTACTGCTTCCAGGAGAGCATATGGGGGAATTTAAGCACTTCCTTTTTGGATTTGTGCACCAGTTCCCCTAGGAGTACAGGCTGCTGTTGGTATTTGGCAAGGGAAAATAGATGAGATTTGAAAATGTTTGTAGAAAAAAAATAAAAATAAGAGTCTTAATTAAGGATGTGAATTGCTTTGCCAATAAACCCACCATCCTATCTTCATTGGTAGCGCTGATGGCTCTTAATTCACTCTCTCTCTCATTTGTGGCTCATTGCTTAATGCACTGGACCACCAAGGAATATTAAGTGCTGCTAATGTAATGGATTGAAGCCGTCCTCGGGTGCCTGAAGCTTTAAAAACTTCAACTTCATATCTTATCTTCTCCGACTCGAAAAACTCCAAACCCCTGGAAAGTATTAAAGCAAACAAAAAGGCCCTTGTGAAAACAAGTATAGTGCACATGGAGGACAGAGCCATTAGGAGAGAGCATGTAAGCCTGGCATTTTCTTTGGAAGGTTTGATAGTTGTTTTTTTTCCCCTTGTTTTTTTTTCCCACTAACATCAACCACTCGTCATGGCAGACAGCCCTAAAGGGGTATGTTTGTGGATTTGTAGCCAGGAAGCCAAGCAAGGTGAGCTTCCTCGAGGTTGAAAAGAAGAGTAATAGATTTCCCCTGATTGGAACGCTGACAGCGTCTTGACCGGCTCCTTACTCTTGTTTTTTTTGTCTTTGTACTATAAGCAGTTTGCATTTTTTACATTGGTACATGTGCTCCAGGTTACGATGACTAGACTTGTCAAAGGGCTCTCACATAGATATTGTTCACGTGTACGCAGTGGATATTCTTCTTTGTTTGGTACTTTGGTGTTAGGGAGGGAGGATTTGGCTGTTGAGCAGAAACAAAGCAGTGTCTGGACACATGAGCTTATATCATCAGACATATTTCAAACTGGACTCGCAGCTCCTTTGACTTTTCCCTGGCATTCTTATGAATATGTTTTTATATTTTTTTTATTTGTGTAAGGCTTTTTTTTGTAACTGTTGGATGTTAATACTTGTTTCATGTTCTCTGAAGTTAGAAAATTAATGTTTCCAAGTAAAGGAGAAGCAGTGAACAGTTGTCCACCCTTCAAGCTAAGCCCAAACCACATTAAGACACTGAAAAACAAGATGTCTACCAAGGTCCTGCAGTGTATAATACTGACTACATAATGATGAACATACATGTAATGTGTATAGGCTCATAACTTATTCTTCTGCCATCCTCTACAAAATAATGATTGTGCTGCTACAAAACTATATACCGGTAATCATGATTGAAGAGTCAACGTTGTATTTATTTCATTTTTTTATCTGCCCATACTGACATCTGTAATAACTTAATGTCGGCCGTCCTTCATTCTGTTCCAGATCATGGATGAAACCCAAACGCAGATCGCCTGGCCGTCCAAACTGAAAATCGGAGCCAAGTCCAAAAAAGGTGACTATTTCTTTTCTCTTAGTAATCCCATACTCACAGTATTCTTATATTGGATCCCTTTACTTCTTCCACTGGTTTTGCCTTGTGTGACTTGAGTATTTGTCGGATGATGGACTTACAGAATCTATGAATCTGATTTCAAGTAAGGAGCTAACTTGCCGTGCATCAAATGCATCAAAGTCCATAAGCTCAGGCTTAAGTTTCCAAATTTCCTTAAATTTAAATTTCCTCTGATGCTCTCACGTCATTTCTAAGATGTGTAGCAACAACAACGAGAGCTAAACTAAACCAAATGTGTAAATGGCAGGTAACAACACAGTTGTGATAGTTTTCCAGCTGACATAAGTTAATGATTATGAGTCACTGTTGTTTTAAGCAGAACTATGTTCTCAGGAAAGTCATTGGACTCAGACGGACAAGGGGTTGCTCTAGCAATCATTATTTACAATTTAATAGAGAAGTTTGAAAAGATGAAACTTCATCTGCACTGAGGAATTTGTAATTTTGCTGTGGAGGAGGAGGGGTGGGAGTCGCTCGTATCGAAGCTCCCTCATTTATTGGCCGAGTTGTTCTCGCACTCTGCTATCAATAAAAGATTATCACGGTTATTTAAAGCTCTTCCGGGAGGGGGGGTGAGGCAGGGTTGAAGGGGTAGGTGTAGCTGTGCCCGCTTTGTTGTCCTCAGGAGAATTGCCAGTGTTGCGTCTTCAAGCCAGATGTGGAATCCGATGACATTATGTAACTTCCTCACTCACTCTGTACAGAAAGTAGATGATGGAGTTACATCAGAACATTTTCCCCCTCTAGATACTTAATCAACTGTAAGCCCTGGCAAGTTATTCACATACAACCATCCATTCATCCCAAGTATAAGTTCATTCACAAAACCAAAACCACCTGGGAAAGATGCTTTGTATACGAATATTTAGAATTCTGCCCTTTGATTTTTTTATTTTCTCTGTGTTGCGTAAACCGAGAGGAGCCGAGGGGAAGAATGTTGGCTAATCACGTACAGTTATCTTATGAGCGAATGCGTTTGTGGGAGAAGAGACATGTCGAGCTGACTGTGTGTTTTAACAACCTGGGCTCATGGGAGCTGAAGAGAATAAAGAATGTTCTACTTCTTACGTATTCTTGCGTCTTAAATTCTGATTTCGTTAAAACCTCACGGAAGCCATCGGGAAAATTACCGGCGACAATGATCTGCATTCCTTTCGTCCCTTTCATTGGAGATGACCAACGCAAAGCGTTCTTGCTCTGTCCTTAAAATAGCTGGTGATGTCGTTGTTTTGAGTTATTGTTATCGAAAATCATACTCCTTTAGGGGTGTTAGTTTGCCGTGTCTTGCATTAGTGTTGTCTTTCATGTGTAGTCTGGAATCGGTTACGCTCGGCAGGATAGCAGAAGATGTGTGTGGGGGGGTGTATGTTTGTAACCTCTCCCCATACACGGCCCCACCACATCAAAATGCCAGCTCCTCTGTTTATTTCATCACCTGCGGCTGGCTGGCTGTCCCTGCCACCTGCACAGGTGTGATAAGGCCAGTCGTTAGCACCTGAGGGCAAGCCGTCACCAGCACACTGTGAGGAGCCATATCACTCACTGCAGGGCTGCCACTTCAGCACCGTGTGACAGAACGGTCAATACTGTGAGATTGCCTTTGTTTTTACTTCTGAAAGTCTGATTTTAAGATTTTTATTTGTGCGTGAAAAATATCTTAATAGTAATACTAATCCTACTTGCTAGTTATGCGTGTGGACATATCCGCAGATGTTTTGAATGAGAAAGGCCAAGCCAAAAGGACTTAATTCCCTTCATTTGTGTGGTATTTTTGAATGTAGTCCTCAGCTGGAAAAATGCTTTAGCTTTGCCAGCACGGAGCTCTGGGTCAGAAGGTTTCTTCTCCGTCAAGTGGAACTATGTAAAATCTGTGCGACTTAAAAACATTCACTTTTTGCAGCTGCAAGTCTTCTCTTGTTTTTGTTTGCTTTTCCAGCTGTTCTGTGTCCCAAATTAAGACTTAAGGTGTTCATTTTTTATTCCACAATCAATCCCCCCAAAAAAGAGCATGCAGCACACTCCATTTCTAAAAATGTGGGGGTGTTCTACATCTCGACTGCAACACTCATTTAGGCTGGCTAATGTTTGCCAGATGTGCAGAGCAGGTTAGTCACTGGAAGAGCTATACTCCCTCTGATGGTCACAGTTGGTGCCACAGGAGGAAGTGGAGGGATTTCTATTGTTCACAGCAACAGCTGTATGATGGGAAAATTTCCTGGAACCAGCTTGGAGACTGTGATAGGTCTCTAACCGCTCTTTCAGCTCTTTTTCCTTTTGTTGTCTTTGCTTTTGTTTTCCCATCTCAGACTGCCGCTCGCTTTTTGTTTAGTTCCTTCCCGCTTGTTACTCTTAAGATCTAGCCTCTCTTGTAGTGTGTGCTGAGGTTGCCTGACCCCTGTGACACTCTTAACAAGACCAGTGCTTGTTTGCTGGCACTCTCTGTTCCCCATAGTTCCCAGTGCACATGAAACGGACAACCTTTTTCAGTTACCTCTATAAAACAGAACTTCACTGTAGCCAACCCGTGCTCTGCTGCTCTCACTCGTATTTTGCAGCCCCGTGGAGAGCGTCTTGGTTTGGCCTTTGAGAGTTATTCATCATCAAAAGCATTCTGTATATTGGGAACTTCCCTTGGCATCGCCAATTCTGACCATCGCTTTTTTTTTTTTTCGAGTTTAGGACTTTTCACTCCCAAGCTCCTTGAAAGTCTAAACATTCATCCATCCGTACGACTTTGCGATACTAGATCTGCTTCAGTGAGTCATGTCTGAAGACCATGCTGTCGATGCTGTAAGTGTGTGGATGGGGAGGGCTATTCCTGGAAGGGGGGCTTAGTCGACTTCCTGCTGCTCAGTACAGTTAACACATGGGGGCGATGGACCATGAGTGTGTAGTACATGCCTGTGCACATTTGAATTTCTGTGTGTGTGTTCATGGGTTTTCACATTTGCGTTCTCCAGGGGTCCGGCATGCGGCAGAGCCAGATGTAGGCTTACCCAACCCTACACAGACACAAGCATTAGCTGTGAACGGTTTTGGTATGCAGTGTTTTGGTGATTTCCACTGAAGTAATTAGAGGCTCTGGAAGCACAGTTTACTTAAGCTATTAGGATCTTTTTACTAGCGCGACCCTCTGGGTGCCCACTGAGCGTGTTTATACCAGAATTTTCGGATGTGGCAGTTTCTGTTGCAGGATCGTATCTAGTCATTTTTTTGAGGAGACGGCTGTGTGTGACGGCTGATAAAGTCATGTGCAACCATGAAAGACGCCGAAAAATGAGTTGCTGTATATTTTTGCAGTCCACTGAAAGACAGAATGAGGTCCAGGGAAATCAGGCGACAAGCGTCACATGATTGTCTTTTCTATTGAGGCTAAATTGCAGCAGAACAATTCTCTCCAGCTAATGGTGTTCCTGTCGACTCTACTGACTGACGGATTGTGCCTGAATATAATTTCCATAGAGCTCCCCGCCCCCCACCCCTGAGCCCCGCACGGTGTGGTTGCTTGCCGACTTAAATGAGACTCTGCAGATATCAAAGCAGCAATTACTGTTGCAGACCTTTTCTCCGACGCGCTCTAATTTGTTGCCACATCCAGACTGCTGTGTCATGTTTGGTTAAATGGATTTGACTTGTGTCCCAATCTCTCGCATTGTATCTCTTAAAGGATACAACAAGGTGTTAGTGCTCTCGCACGCGCCCACACACACACACACACACACACACACACACACACACTGAACATAAATTAAACATGCTCTCTCTTTCTCCCACTTTTAATGTCTCCCTTTCTCCCTGCAGATCCACACATCAAGGTGTGCGGGAAGAGGGAGAATGTGAGGGAAGCCAAAGACAGAATTATGTCCGTCCTTGACACAAAGGTACAGTAAACATCTTTATCACATTGAAGATAGACTTCGTGTGTGTGTGTGTGTGTGTGTGTGTGTGTGTGTGTGTGTGTGTGTG